TGTTGGTGCAGTGCACCACACGACACAGCTGTGCTTCTTTGAGGTGTTCACCAAATGACCCAAAGAGTGACTTCAGCATAGGAGGGTTAATGTCTAGCTTTGGACAGAAATCAAGACTAGAGGAGCATACTTCTTTCTCTAAGTCGTCAACAAGCTCCTGATATTCTTGTTTCTCTTGTAGGGCCAAGTCCTTCATCTCCTTGTCGGAGGATTCACCTGCAAAAAACAAGAAGATGTATTATCCTGATTTTATCTTAAATTGAGATCAATATTTCTGCCTGAGACAGAATCTAGAACAATGAAGTTTTCTTAGAGAAGATGGCAAAAAACAAAGTGGAAGAAAGTGGCAAATCTAGGAAATGGCATCAATGCATTCCTAGATCCTTCAAAATCTACCAAAAGGTTTTGAAAGCTTATGAAGGGTTGAGGAGGGTAGAATCTAGCTAGTGCTACTCCATACATGAGGTTGGATTGGAACAGTGGCATACATGTAAACTGCGTTTGGAGGGACGATCTTAGATAGTTTCAAGACTGGGGCTGTTCATCACAAATCTTTCAGCCTTCTGTCAATTCCCAAGCTATTCAAACTGTGACAAAAGCATTCCTTTGTCACTGTTCATCTTATGACTTTGTGACTGGATTTGTATGTGATGGATTTGACTGCAAAACTGAATCAAGAAATGTCGTAGCAAAATTAATAAGCCTTTGCAACTAACATTTGAATAAAATCAGGTACAGAATACGGAGTTATGTGATTGAACTTAAACACAACCACTTGAATTCACACTGTTGCTATACCTCGTGATTTGGGGCAAGCTTTTGCATAGCAACCACCATCTCTGGAATGGACTTGTTCCTTTGTGCCCTTCTTATCCATTGACAACAGTGTATTGTTGCAAGGCGTCTCTTACGAGACTAAGCAAAAGCTTGCCCCAAATCACGAGGTATAACAACAGTGTCTATAGTCTGGGGAATTCAAATTGGTGTGTTCAAGTGAAGTTAAAGAACTCAGCGTTCCAGATTTTAATCAATTTAACTTGCAAAAGGCTTATTTTCAACTGTGAACTCTGGAAAAAACATGCATCATTTATAAACACTTGTTGATTGCAAAATTAAGCCTTGCTTTCTTTGGGGAAATCTGTCCCTATTTACGGTTTAGCAAAACTCCTTGCGAATGTGCGTGGGGCATTTTGACCTGTTTCAGGTTCAAAAAACCAACCTGAAATCAGCTCTCCTATCTCCTTCAGCTCTGTCTGTCTGTTTGTCCACTCTTCCATTTTTTCAACCACGGGAATCAGCTCGGTTAGTCTCCTCCGCAGCCGTCTTTGTTTCTTTCCATCAGCTGCACTCTTTTCGTCCGTTATCTGCTGGCATATGTGTCGGTGCTCTTCAACTAGATGTTGTAGGTAGGCTCTGAGTGAGGGATTGCTCATTGAAAGTGTATCTTCATTGGTCGATTTCCTAGGGCCTGTTCCGTAGGTGCGTCTGACAGCCAATTTTCCTTCAGAGTACATGTAATGTCTGTTTTTTGGAAGACTTGTTCTTGGAGAGGAGTGACTCACAGGAAATGTTTCCCAATTGGTGGTTTTGATGGGACCCAACAAATATCCGTATTTAAGAGCCAATCTTCTTCCGGAGGAAAACCTCCTTTTTGGAAGATAAGCTCTCAGTGAGAGATTGCTCAGTAAACTTGCATTTGTACTGGATAATTTGCAGTAACCCAACTCATCATCTGATCTCCCTGCCAATCCATTCCTGGAGCAACGTCTCCATTCTTGAAGATGCGCTCTAGCAAAGAGACTACTCCTGGAATATGCATTATCATAAGTGGGTTCAAAGACGCTTGCTTCATTGAAGTTGATTACGGCCGATCCAAGGTCGGAGCGATGTCTTCCTCTTTGAAGACAATCCTGGAAGGGATTGCTCACGGTGGACTTACCCATGTGGTATGCTATATTTGGACCTGGTCCATACCTGAACCTGGGAGCCAATGAGTGTCCGGAGCAATGTCTTGATGGAAGAGTCTTTAGGACATTGGCATCAGTGGGTACTGTTCTTGATGCGACAACTGGTGGATTGGTAGGTGTTCTTGCTGCTGTTACGTACATGTACGTGTACGAAGTTCCTCTCTTCACATCACACTGCTTCCCTGGATGAACAGACCAAAATCTTTCCAAGGAGTAGGATGAAGGGTCACCATGGAAACTCTTTCTTGCAAAGGCTTTCAACAGCTGCTGTAGACACTTCATTCTGGACTCACCAAGTCAGTAAGCAGCTTAATATCTTCACTAAACCTTGCTGAAGATCAAGAGAGAAATAAATGATGAGATTTACAGCTATAAAACTATTTGTAACAGCAAGTTAATGACTTTAATAAACTGATGCATCATCTATAGTAACATCGCTCACTAGATGTTAATTAATTGAGTCACTTAAACTATTACTGATAAAACTTTTTCCGAAATTTTCTATATCTTTGTAAATTCTACTTTCAGCTCCCAAGTTGTTTAATAAGATAAATTTAAAAAGTTAATCAATTTTTATGGGGGGGGACAAATGGGCATTTTTTTGGTAAATAAGAATCCATTTTTATCCATATGAGAATTCTCTACCCAAAGAATGGTGCTGGTATCATTTGAAGTACTTTCAAATCCTGAAGACTTGGAAGAGGGCTGGTACAGTACATCGTAGATCTAAACCCCTGCCCACTGGTTTCACTCTACACAAACAACCAATAATAAACACGACAAAATTGAAATATCATAGCTAAAAATGCTATTTTTTCATTTCTGCTTCCTTGGACAATGTTGGAATGGTTGGGTGTGGGTGATTTCATAAACATGTACTGTATACATGTACACTGTACCCATAGCCACTTAAGCCTTAAGTTAAAGATTGAAAAATGGCTAAATCATGAGGAGGCAGTGCAGGCCTAGGCCTTAGGCTACATGTACATGTACTTCATTCAAAATTTGAAAAAGAAAAGTACTAATGGTGTCCGTATATGGAACTCTTACCCATGTGGCTTTTCAAGCAAGGAACAAGTCTGTATAGAGTTCGTCGTCCGCCGGCGCGCTCTAGGCCTACTATACGCGGCAGACGACCAGTTGTGAACTCAAGTTTTGTTGGAAGTAGGCCTACACAAAGTTCTTCATGAAAGACATTGCTGCATTCTTTAGAACTGAATAATGGATTACCTGGATTCAATGTATTCATATGTGAATTCTGCAATGTAATGTAGCCGTACACGCTAACAGAATAAAGACAAAATTTCAGGCCAAGTTTATTTCGGCGTGTTGGATGTGAAGGGCGCAGCCATTTTTACACGAAACGGCCTTCATAAACTTTACTCAATCACACTATCAGTTTATCTTTTCTCCAAGAAATTTCACTCTTGAGGTAAATATAATAAAATACAAATTGTTCGTCCCAATCCTTATATTATACACACTGCTAATTGACTTGTTTAATTCAGTCAAGATTGAGATTTTAGAGGCTCATTCAAATATCTAAACTCAGTCAATGACTATCATAATTTTCCAGCAACGTTGGGTATACAAAAGGACTGGTTTACAAGTTTAATGAGAAAGGGCTCCCCAAAATGCAGTCATACTTCCAGACTCCCCAATAAAAGCTCTTTGATATTTTACTCGCGATCGCAGTGGCATCAGTCCATTCTAAGAAGACGGCGGAAAATGTTCGCTGGCCGGAAGATCTGTCATGTTTTGGAGATTTTGAGCTGAATTTGCAAGGAGTTCCCTCGAATTCAGGTAAGACACCAAAGCAGATAGCCTTCCGAAGACGTGCAGATGTTTTGATGTGTTTGCATTTTGAATTTTGGTGTTTTGTGATTGAAATATTGTTTGTCCCGCAAGTTCTGTCAACAACGAAATGTCGGCAAACGCCAGAATCCAGCATCGGAACAGGTGGAACTCCATTCATCGTGTCACCACGACGAACGGTCTCGCAAATTCTGATGACTTGAGTTTGGTGTGAATTGATGAATCAGTCGTGTCCTTAATATTAATTAGGCCTAGAGTGTTACTTATTCCATCGTGGTTTGATAAACCAAATTTAATTTGGTAAATACTCTTTTTATGTTAACTAAAAAAATTAGGCCAAATAAGTTTTTCCTAAAATGTTTGCAATTTCTGTGGACCTTTTTTACCAGTTCTATTAATAAACATGATAAATAAAATTTAAGTTAATTTCATGTATACGAACGTGTAAGACCATTAGAATAGAGGTTGTAGATTTGCTTCTTAACAATTTCAACAACATTATTTTTTCATTCATTATGTTATTCAACCACTGAGTAGGGCCTACAATCACTTTTCAAGTTTAATACACCCAAACTACAACCAAAAGCCTTGCTAAGGGATGATCTACAACATGCATGCCCTTCATTAGTTCGTGAATCAGGCCAAATAGGGATCATCACAACAAAAAAGACCCACGGTGTACATAATAAACATGAGTCAGCCATAGTCCAAGCAGACATCTGGACATACAAAAGCCTTCAAAACTCAGCTAAGTATGGATGCATAAATGCTGTTTGATTCAGCTGCTAAAAGATTCTGAATGCTGATTTTTGTGATTTGTTTTGTTCTCCTACAAATAATGACACGGCATCTTAGCATGCGAGTGGTGGACGCAAATCTATTTCTGTTGGCCTAACATATAAAGTGGGCGTTGCACATGAGCCTCATTTACATGTACATGCATTTCCAAATTGTGTTTGTATGCTTCATTTCTTTGACATAGCAAAACTGAACTATTTTACGTGCTACCTTTGTATAAAACTGTGCATTGACTTTGCTGCAAATGAAGTTTGTAATAAGTCTGTTTAAGCACATCAAAAACAAGATTTAATTGTGCATTTTTAGACCAGCATTTCCAATATGTAAAGTGATACCTTACATGTGCATGATATACACTTGCACTATTAACCTCCAAATTCCGTTTGATAAAAAAAAATCCTAATTTGCATAATTTTTATGTCAAGGATGGATACACATCGGGCAGGGCAAAAAATCCGAAATTAATTTCCATATTTTCATTGTCCTCAACCTACCGGTACATTTCTCCCCAACTATGCATAGACCCATGTGGAGCATGTGTCCCGACTGCAGATGGGGCAGTTTACATTGTACATGTACATGGCACTGTATTTGGACTGGGCTACCTGTGGTGTAATATGCAAATGTAGGCAATTTGCATATGTCATTCTTATGCATGTTTGCATATTTGCATAAAGCAAGGCATGTACACTGTACACTGCATGTCCCACAAAGCAGGGGCTAATCCATTTGGAATATTACTCCTTAGAAAACAGTTGTTGGCAAAGTACCAGCAAGGATTCAGGTGGGAAATTTTAAACAGTTGGAAAAGGCATGTACATGTACGTGCACTTCTGTGGGCATTTCCAAGTTTGTGCAATCCCAAACTATAGGTCTATCTTTTCTTACCAATTTTTCTGAAATTTACCGATCGACAACAGTGGTGACAGGCAGTTTGAAGCTGCACAGCTCTGTACACCAGCGTGAAAGTCAAGTCTATGACAAATCCCTCCACAAGTCCAGTCATATGTAACAGGGTGAACAGTGACAAAAGAATGCTTTTGTCGTAGTTCATTTGAAAAGCTTCAGACAAAATGACTGAGGGACTCACATTGTACCTGCACAGGAAGCCTGTTTATTCACACAGATCTGAATCGCGATCAGTGATTTGTCGTTGGTTCACTGACACCAGAACCCACCGAATGGATCACAGATCACGATCCAGATTTGTTTGCAACAAAGGGACTTGCAGGGACTTGTGATGGACCCAAAGACAACGCTGCTGTACACTGAGTTTTCCCACCTTATTTGGTGGATAGAGAGACCATTCCAATCTTACCTGGGCAAACTCTGAGTGTTTAAAATACACCGGCCTTTACACCATAATGCACATTTACAGCTAGAGTCATTTTCGATCATAGCAGGTCATCAGAGGAGTTTATTTCCTGGTAATTTTCCGTTCACTTTTAATTCGAATCACTTGCTTAGAATTTAGACTCCTGTTTCCACTGTATACACAACTGGTGTCCGGTACATTCCACACAATGTAAACATATCATGATATTGCCCAGTCCTGCACTCGTCAAATATTTGTTCAATTTGCGTAGATAAATGTTGTCAGCTGCACTCTTCAGTAAAGATTGATCGTCAAGCACTAAATGGAGTTACCAGGATTTCGATCAGTAAATTGCTGGCAATGCAACATACCCTAGCCTGGCTGTGTATATTTGTATAATTTTTATGATCAATTTTAATGATTGAAATTTTTGATGAAAAGGATCATAAAGATTGTATGTGTACATGGACTTTGAATTAAAAGTAAGCCTACCGGTTGACCTATTTAGGGGCCATTCAAAATGTTCAATGTTTGGAAATTTTCATTTTTTTTTTCGTATTGTTTTTATCCAGCCACCCCCATTTTTGATTAACAAAATTTCAAACGTTTTTTGCATGATGTACGGCACATTCAATGTGATGATCACACACATATGGTGATTCGTTCGAATACAGATTCATGTTTATTAATACCAAATGCAAGGTTTGTTTGTCGTCCAATCCCATGATGCAATGCAAATGTTGATAACGTCTATTTAACCAGTGTCTTTGGTTTTGTAGATGGCCCTGCTAATGCATTTACAGGTCCTAGTAAGAGCTCGGCCACGAAGCGCAATCCATCAGTGCGGCCAAATTAAACCCTCAGCTCATAATGCTAAATTGGCACAAGGCAATTAAAATGCCGGTCCCAAGTGTGTGCTTGTGTCACTCACCAATTTCCTTACTTTGTCCCCAAGTAATTGCATAAAAAAACAAGCAAATATCAAAAGTTCAGCGGTGTAACGTATACAACATTGAATTTCTAATGCGTGTTGTACAAACATGACAAAAACACAAATTTATCCAAGCCTGGGTGTATGGTACGATGTACATGTACCGCTGCTTACCGGATGTACTGTACATGTACTGAACAGTGCACCTGCAGCCTGACCTGCAGCTACATGTAATGTACATACATATGTACATGTACATGTACACTGTACTGTGCCCATTATTTGCGTCTTCAGATGCATGAACTGTACACTGTACAGTCAAACCGCATTAATTAACACAGGTACACAGGCGGTACATGTAAGTCTTAATAGGTTCTTCAGGCTTGGCAAATTACCTTGTTATAGCAGGAACCTTGTTTTATCAGGAATGAAAACAGTGAAAAACAAAGGATTAGGACTTTAAAAATTGCTTGTTATAATAAGAAGAACCTTATTAGTGCTCTTTTGAATGAGGTACGACTGTATATTTGATCAGTTGTTGAATATTTTTTTTCGAAGTCAATCATTTGAAACTGAGAATCAATTACGGTAAATAACAGAATTGATAAATTCAGTTACGTGTATTTGGGTACAAATTGCATTGGGGGGGGGGCTGGCTGCCCCCAATTTCCTGCCCCCAATTTCCTGCCCCCAATTTCCTGCCTTAGATTCACCACTGGGCTTTCGTAGGAAACACCATTACAAGAGGACACCACATACATGTACTCTCAGCAATGTATCAGTGCAATGCACTATACATTGCAGAAAAGAGGGTCACTGTCACAGCAATCAGTAACCATAGCAACCAGTCACATGCTAAAGCTTTCAGGGTGTAACCTCCCATAAACATGTATAAGGGCAGGTATCCAGTCTAATGCCCCTCTGGCTTAAATTATCGCACCTTCATGTAAATTGATGATTGTATCTTCGGCTGACAGCTCTGCGTATGATCACTTGTACGCACACCCACGCCGTATTTCATTTATTAGACGAGTAAAAATCGCAAACGAATGACAACATCTGTCTTTTGTGACAAGGCATTATGAAGGAAATCTGCTTGTTCTGCTCCAGGCGACTGCCGCGTGCATCGACTCTTGAGGTCCAGATTTATATCGTTACTGGATTTATTTGAGACAGGGAAATCTGTGCACTACGGTAGCTGTTTAGTAACTGCCAGATTCAAAAACTCTAATTATTACCAATGAATTTGCTGATTTGTTTGTTCCTGGATTCATAATTTCATGAATTTACGTACTTTTACACAATGCATTGAGTGAAATACTAAGTGTTTTGAACACATTTAAATGTGAAGCATTGACTGAAATTCATTTTGAACACACCAGATTGTTGACACTAATCACTCGTTAATTTGCTAATTAGTGTTTTAAATTATCTGTTAAACAAAATATTGTCAGAGATGCTAGTAACTGATCCAAAGCCTACAGGTCAAAGCTAGGAATTGTTTAAAGCTTCAAAAATTGTGTGTTCATGTGTGACCAAATCTAACAAAATGGTCACAAGTCAGCAGCGCCATATTTAAGTGAAAGACGTTAAAAACTCTTGTGCAGCAGGGACCCGCACCGTTTTTCCCCACACGCTGTCCATTTTCATCAGGAGACCAGACTGAATCATTCATCGAAATGCACAGTTCATTTTGATATATTGAAGAGAAAAATTGAAATTTCAGGAAACTGGCCACACAGTCTAACTCACTTTGATCAATCTGATCACATTCCCAATACAGCCGTTTCTCAATAGTGCACCACCAAGAGTTTACAACGTGTTGGCCAATCACAAATTTGTCGACCCAATGCACGTTTGGAAATGGTCGACAATTTTCGAGCGTTATGATTGGCCAGTGTGTTGCAAACTCTTGGTGGTGCACTATTGTCTGACTAGTACAAG